CAAGATTTTAAGTAAAGATTTTTAAGTAAATATTTTTAAAACTTATTTAAAACATGGGCAGAAGTAACTTCATAAGATAGGATACTTATCAATGCAAATTAAAAACCCAAAACAAAACTTGGATGCTTAAAATAACAGAGTGAGTTAATATATTGAAAAGAGAAGTGAAATAGATAAAAAAGCAGCTAGATGAAAAGAGATTACGTGAACATACTTGCAATTTTCAGAACATTACTTTTCTGCTTCAAACTCATATGTGATTAGAGAAAAAAGTGTTATGAGAGGAGAAGCTCTTAGTGTTTGACAGTCTGCAAAATTGTCATGGTTGGCATCAAAACATGGCCACAATCAAGATGTGCCTGGTTTAAAAAAAGGGCATCGGGATGTGCTAGAAACTGCATGAATTTGAGTTTGCATCTGAACTTCAACTTTCATAGCAAAACAGAAAAATGATGCTCAAAGAGTTGTATTTGAACCCCGCCTCAAAAACACTAAGGCTAAAATATCTCAGATATCCATGCCAGAAACATACAAACAGAGATTTAGTTCCTTAAATTTATCAAGTAATGGCCAACTTCTTTTCTTTTTCTTTTCAATTAAAAAAAAAGCACAAACATTTTAACTGGCTAGGAGTGCTTACAATGCGCATGTCACAAACTTCCAGATGCTCTCTTTGCATCTGTTCTATCCAGTAATGGTCTCTGGACCAGAGGGGAATCATGCAAGGCAGGGATGAGGAAAGAGGGGAGAGGCAGAAAAAAGTATGGAGCTTTGCCTTCCAGACACTTGATATTAAAAACCCAAAATAATAAATTAATAAATTAAGAGGATGGGAGAGTTCTGCTCCAGAACATGGCTGTGAATGCTGGACTTCTAAGGAGCCAAACAGAATTGCCAGAGAGTGTTGAGTCTACCATAATTTCCTCCTTGGATATGCCTTTGATAGAAGAAAGCCATTGCCAATCCTGCCTGAGATTCCCAGGCCTGGTGGTCAGTAGGAAAACATCTGGTAAGCTGCAAGCTCAAAAAATTGAGTTATTATTTTCCATAAAGTCTTCCCTTTGGCATTTGGTGGCATTTCTTGAGCCAATAAAATATGGTTACTTCCTTACTGTCCTCCTTTTCATGTCCGTATTCTGAGAACAAGAGTGGATTCACCTGCATAATTTAAACTAGACTTTCCCAACCTTGACAACTTAAGACACAGAAGTCTGGGAGTTGAGGTCCACATATCTTAAAGATACTAAAGTTGGGAAACCCTGATTTAAACCATTCAAAAAACCACAACCTTATTTTCTAGTTGGAGTTTAATTTGAAATGCTTTTTCTTGCAATAATAGCACTGAGTTCTTGTACTTCCTTTTTCTCTGTTTTTGCAAATGGAAAAGGGAACTAAACAAACCATTAACTTACACAAGTCGAGATGCTATGAACCTGGGAAAATGTGTCAGCCCGGGGGTGGGGGCAGCCTGGGGACAGCAGTTGTCTCTTCCAAAACAAAGTCAACTGGGTCTTGTTATTTCACTCTCTTGCTATCAGTGCGATGGTGAACTGCAGCAAGTACCAGGAGTCCTTTTTTACTAAATATTTCTTCAATCAGCTCAGAGAAACTCCATTGTATAGATTCTGCACAATCATCTCTTTTGGCTAATGAAGCTAGGCTTCTGCCCCCTTGCAAACCCTCTTTGGTTCTTCCTGATTCACAGTGCATTGCCCTGGAATGGTTAGTGGCATTCTTCCTAAAATAATTATCAGGTATCAAATAAAGAACCATGTTGTGATTTTTGTATTACACATACATTTTCAGCCTCTTAAACGAAGTTCTCACTTTTCCTTCCATGTTGGCTTTGGAAGATTAAAAATTGAAGATCCAACATTGAAGATGATGGCAAGTTTTCATCTGTGCTGCTAAATCAATATTCTCATCCATACATGTTTTAATAGCAAGAATGGAGAATTATAAGGTTAACCGAGTCATTTTCCAGATACTTTAAGTCCACTGTGGGGACTAGATTCTTTTGCCATTGGAATATATTCATTCATCTGTTACTCTGGGAAATGTGAATTATTTCTCTGCTTTACCTAACATTTAATTTGTTCTGTGGTAGCAGAGTATGCCTACTCCATACACCTGATAGACAGGCAAAATACTTTTCAAATTATGCAGCTGTGTTAGATTTTGTGTCATACATCACACATTTGTTTGTATTCTTTTGTTGGAGTGCTCTTGACAACAGTGGTGTCAAACTGCCGGCCCGCGGGCCAATTTCATCATACCAAAGCCTCACCCACCCCATTGCTAGCAATGCAAAAAGAGTTGCGATACATCGCAACACATCACGTGACGTGGTGAGTTTGACACCCATGATCTACAAGATTGCCTCTCCTTGAGAGTATCTGTCCATTCCACTAAATATGATCAGGTGGATGTCCTTAGATCCCTTTCCTCAAATGTTGCCATCTAGTGGGACCTAGGCAATATGCTTTCTCAGTAGCTGTCTCTGCCTTTTGAATATTCCACTGAAGTCTTCCAAAAACCGTGACAGCCTGGTTTTCTCACAAGGATGACTTTGGAGCCCAAAAAGGTTTTTTTATGTGTGTGTGTATTTTTGGGGATGTATGGAAGTTGGGGGCACTGGGAGTTTTCAGTAGGTAGATTTCACTTATTGTTTTGTTTGGTAACCATTCAAAGTTATGGCAGTGTTGAAAAAATAATTTTACAACTAATGACCTCATAGACAAGCTTAGCAGTGTTCCTCAGTCACATGATCTTCATTATAGTCCATACTCAATGTACTGTGCTGGACCTGTTTTGCTCTCCTCAACTGCCTTGCTGAGCAGAAAGATTGGAGTGGAAGAGATTAAAAGAGAATAAGCAGGCACACAGTGAGGAATATACCGGGCCACGTGAGTGGCAAGCTTGGACTGTGGGTGCCAACACATTGCTCTAAATGAATTTTCCTTATTGTGTGCCTTCTTACTCTTTTGTAACCCCTTCTCCAATGAATGTAAATACAAACATTAATTCCCTTCTTGCTCATTATCCCAGCACCCTGCATGGGAGTGAGCATCCCAAAGGGTGGGGGAGTGGGGAAAAGAAAAGCACTGTCATGTGATTTCCCACTTCGCAGCCACTTTGCTGGAGCACAGTGGCTCAAGTGGTTGGAACCCTGGGCAGGAGGTTAACAAGCCCGTGTTTGAGACCTGAGAGCTGCCATGAGGAGGGTTATGGTCTTGTCCTTCACTCCAGCTTCTGCTGGGGACATGTAAGGAACCCGCAACTGGCTAATCCTTTCAGCCTGGAAGGCCCTCCATGCTTCTGACTCAAGTGCAAAGCCACTTAGCTTAATGACAGAACTGCTGATCCCCAATTATGGTCACTAGAATGAGGAATACCTGTATTGATTTTTAGTTTTGTTATAGTTTTCGTCACTATTTGTGAGCTGGGATAATATGGGGATAATATCAGTTGCTATTACATTATTAAGAAAGATGGCACTTGTGGATGAAAAAAGGCTGAGGTCTGGCTTCTGGTTGAGATAGACTCCGTGGCTCCTGAAGACAAAACAGTTCTGGAATTGCCAGAGGATTATTTTAAACTAAAGGATCATTTCTCTAAATCCCTGCAGCATTCTAAAACACAAGACCCTTGCCCCATTTCCGAAAAGTATAGCCTTACAAAACAATGTTCATGGCTTCACTTCTTCTTTCACAAACAGATCCATTGGTGGACGAGACTATAATCTAGCAGGACTCCTGCTGATGTCTGAAGGCAAAGTGGCCTTCAAACATCAATTCCTTGATTCTCCTCTCTTCAGCAGCTCCCGGAGCCACTTTTCATGCTCTGCTGGACGTCTGCCAATTTTCTGGAGCAAGTTTTTTGTGGGGAGGGGGGATCGTTAAAGGGAAGGTAGGAGAAAATTGCCTCTTTGACATAATGTGCATGGGACCCTGCTTGCTGGATCTCTAGATCTAACTCTCATATCAATGATGTCTCTGTCTTTCAACAAAGGCATGCATCGTACAAAGCATGGATTGTGACATTTGATGAAAGCTAAGCTCTCGCTAGCCCTATCTAAAGGTAGCAAAATTAGAGTTTGAAGGCTCCCCGCCCCCAGTCAAGCTTTAAAATGTGTTGCTTGATAATGGGGACCTGAAATAACCCCTAAGGTTTTTTTTTTGTTGGGTTTTGTTTTCAAGTGTATTCTTGCTTAAGGTTTAATTGGCTCCAGGCAGTAGGAAAGGGCTCCAAGACTGATTATTTATGGCTTACTGTCAAAAGGAGCTATTAAAAAAGGGCAGTATTATCTTGGAGATGTTTGGAAGCAGAGCATGGTGGGGGGAACGTGTGTGTGTGTGTGTGTGTGTGTGTGTGTGTGTGTGTGTGTGTGTGTGTATAGGAGTGTGTTTTCTTGTACTGGATAAAATCAGTTTTGCTGTCTCAGCAGTGTGGTTTAAATTGAAGATTAACCCTTTGACCTTCACAGTGTCAAATCACTTACAGATGGATCACCAGCTACACTTCTCTTCTCCCCTCCCTCCCTTCCCCCCTCTCCTGTGTTTGCTGGAAGAGGGGGGCACTCTCCTTTAGGAAAAAAAAGAGGGGGAAAAAGTTGTTTGTTCTTGCAGCTGGGCTATGAGACACTCAGAAGCCAATCTGATTAAAAACAGCACTTGGCTAAACTCTGCAGAATCCTGCAAAAAAAAAAAAAGGGGGGGGGTAATCCTTTTGTGCACAATACATAAAGGGTTTGCTTCTTTCTTTCATAATATTGGAGCAACAATTATTCCTAGAGAAACTACTACTAGTCACACACACAAACACCCTGGGGCCAATGCTTTTTTCCTTAATATTTGTAGTATTGCTGGATTAAAGTGCCCGTTCTTAAAAATATAACATTTTTTATTGGGACAAGTTAACCTTTTGAATGGTAGCTTTAACATTTTATATGAGTAATCTTGTTCAGACCCTTTCTCCCCCCCCCTTTTTTTTTTTAACAGCACCAGCAGAACAGAAATCAGGTCTGGTGGCAGATCCTTCTCTTCCTCCACAACTTGGCCTTGAACGTGGAAGCAAACAGACAACGTGTGGGTCAGAGGTGAGATCTGCCCTGCCTCTTCCAGGTTCCATCCAGTCTGCTGGGAGCACCAAACAAACCCAGGTTACAAATGCGCATGCCACTGGACAGATGTGAGGTTCCTGTGGACCTGAGGGTGCTTGTTGTACAAAAGACTTGTTTTCAATGGACTTGCCTTCTGACTCCCTTGTCTTCTGTGGTGGGGAGCTTTGGTCCAACACTGTTGAAGAAACATCTTCCCAAGTTGTGTGGCTTATAATCAAGGTGCAAGGAGGAACTAATGTAAGGAAGCTTTGCATGAGTTGGTGATGGACTGTTGGTGATGTTTTGGGTTTGAGGTTTGGGGCAACTACCAGATTCCTGATCAGTAAACTTTGAAGAAACTCTGTAAACAGCAACTGTGAAGCAGCATATAGAGTATGTATGACTGAATCTTGACATTTTAAATAATGGAGATACTGGTGTAAACAAGGAGTGAGTCTTGAATACGTAATAACACACAATCATTACACTCAGGAACATATGGGCTCCTCTCCTGTCTTTCAATTCAAGTCAGGAAAATGAAATATAAACAGTACTTTCTTATCAAATGTAACTTTCTTTACTACTCTAAAGCAGTAATCCTTGTACTAATAAGCCATTATCCAAACAATAGGATTTCTTAGATTACTTCCCTAAGGAGAGAAAGAAAAGTTCGTCCTCGGAGAGAGAAATTCAGCCTCACAAGGATTTTCCCTAAAGCTGCAAACTGCCTGCAGTTGGTACTATGAAGGCCGGGATGGGGGTGGGGGCTGGGTTGCTAGGAGAGGCCCTGCTTTCCACTGTCCTCATATGCCAACACGCCTCTAAAATGGGTAGGATCATGGCAGCCTGGAGCTTGCACCATCCTTTTTCTTCCCCACTGGAATCATTGGGAGGGACAAGGAAAGGAAAATCCTCTTTTGGGAGGATCCAGCTGACATAAGCCGTTAGAATTACAGAAGCAGCATTCAGCTACTTTGGCTTCTCTCTTTTCTTAAGTCTAAACATCTAACAGAATTAGTTTAAGTTAGCAGAGAAAAGTGCTTTAATTTTACATAAACCCTCATTTATGATCATATTCAATATCAGAGATGGAACCACAAACTACTGAATGCCCCATGCTACGTATTTTTCTTTTGCCATTTAGAAAAAAATGGAAGCAAAGGTTTTATTTGGAGAACAAGAAAATATTGTTTTGTATTGTAGAAAATAAGAGGAATGATTTTTTTTTGCCTGGCCATAGGTAGAGGGGCATCAATCCAAAAGATTTTGAAAGGGCTCTGCCCCCTGGTTTCAGGCTTCTGGACTTTTCAATTGTAGAACAAGTGAGAAGCAAGATGAATTAGAAGGCTGGTTATGCAAAGATTTGGCTATATTTTTTTGCGAAAGACCTACCTTCCTAAGTGCTCTCCTGAAGACATTTGCTATTCTGAACTATGTAGCTATACTTTCCCACTATCTTAAGAGGCAGTATTACTACTCTAGGTGTTTTTAAGATTTAGAGTTAGAGGTCACACAACTTGGGTAACCTTAAGTGCATTTATGGTTTTGCCCTCATGGCTTTAGCATGTTGTCCAGATCTAGTCAGTTTGGTTAGTTTGTGCTTCATTGTATTTTGGGGACCAAGAAAATGGACTAATACAGGAATGCAATTGCGTGATTTGTGTTTAGTACTTCTTCCCAAAATAGCTGTAATGAGAGTCTCTCTAACAGTATGGCCTTTTTATATATTGGTTTTTAATAAAAACAACATGAATTAACAGTATCAGTATTGTTTAAATATTTCCCAGTGTGAAGGAACAAATAGTTCAGACAAACTTTTATTCAAAAGTTTCTAATGCTTCTTACATTTTTAATTTCATCTTTTCGGAGAGGGGTTTTAGAGTTTAGCAAGCAGCTTAGTCTCAGACATTTGTGTCTCTGTGCTAGATTTCCTTCCAGCTTTGCTGCTGTCTCTTCGCTAAAAGCCTTTGCCCCATCTGGCCTAATTCTGGAACATTGGCCAAGGCGTCCGTGGTTTGCCGACCTTGTGGATCTTTCGCTCTTGCCACCATGGAGGATTCCCCTGGACCGAGTAGCTCTCAGCCAAGGGAATCTTCAACATCCAGACCCAGAGTGGCTCCAGTTGGCCGCCTGGCACTTGAGCGGGAAAGTTTAGCTAGGCAATCCTATTCGCCCGGGGTGATCTCGATGATTCAAGCCTCAAGGCGCCCCTCGACTAATAGGATTTATGACGCCACATGGAGGAACTTCTGCACGTGGTGCACTAAACAAAATCTCAGGACGCTCTCGGTCACAATCCCTAATATTTTGGACTATCTGCTGGAAGGTATGAACAAGGGTTTATCACCTAGTACCATCCGCAGGAAGGTCGCAGCTCTGTCAACAGTCCTTACCTGTGACAACTTGGTTCCTTTGTCGCAACATTCAGCAGTTACTGCTGTCCTAAAAGGGGCGGTTAACGCTAGACCGCCTGCGGTTCATCGCTACCCGTCTTGGGACCTGCCTAGGGTGTTACAGGCTCTGACCTCTCCTTCGTTTGAACCTCTCAGCTCTTGTTCTCTTCATTTTCTGTCTTTGAAGGTGGCGTTCCTAGTAGCCATAACATCGGCTAGAAGGATTTCGGAATTAGCCACACTTTCAGTTAGAAGTGATTTGTGCACCTTTTTCAAGGATAGGGTGGTTCTCAGATTGGACCCTTCCTTCATTCCTAAGGTTAATATCTTGTTTCACAGGTCCCAAGACTTGGTTCTTCCAAATTTCTGTCCAAATCCTTCACATAGTCTAGAATGACAGTGGCATAAACTGGATGTGCGCAGGGCTCTGCGTCATTATGTCAAGCGAACCTCAGCTTTTCACAGGTCGGAGGCCTTGTTCGTGTCTTTTCAACCCTCTGCCATGGGTCAGAAGTTTTCATCTTCGACCATTGGTAGGTGGATAAGGGCATGCATTGTTCAGGCCTATCTTTCGCAGTCACTTCCAGTTCCTGCACACATCACGGCTCACTCGACACAGTGTAGTGAATTGGAAACTTGCTGCTCAGAATCCTGGACTGAATCCAACTTTTGACCTCTACAAAAAGAACAGATTTCTTTCATAGTAGATTCTGGTTAATGGATCATTCCTGCTGATAGAATGAAGGAAGAGGTGATTTTTGATTTCTCTAAATTGTGGGGGTTTTGGACAATGAAGAAGAAGATGTGAACCAGAACCCTCTAATGGAATTCTGCTTAGGGAGGTCCTGCTGGAGACTCCTGTTTTCATCCTCTTGAAAGGAATCTATCCCAAATCCATCTCCCTGAGAGATTATAATTTTCAGATGTGAAAATAGATCACCTGGGACTGGGTCCACCAAATCTGGTACTATTTAGGTGTGCTTGAGGATTCAGTTCACTAATTCTCAGCCAGCAGGAGGGCAACAGATTGAGAAAAGCTGACTTAAACAAAGTGGCTCCAAGAATCGAAGTTTCTGAATCAAGAACATATGATTATTATGGTCCCATGTTATATCTTCCTTGACTCAGACAAATAATGTTGCTGACCATTACTGCATCGTGGCAGATAAAAGTGGAAGATTATTTCTTTGAACTTTAATGGGCCAATTTCATTTTTGATAGCTCCTTGTGATGTTCCTCCTCCTCCTGATCAGTATAAGGAATTTTTAGCCCTTCTGCCACGAGAGCAGATTGTCTTATTTAACACATGACCTACATACCCATCATCAGTTTGGACACAAGGCAGAAATCTGAAGCACAAAGCTTTATTGTGTTATTCTCTGCAATGGACCAAGCAGTAAATACGTGCTGGAGAAATAGGGCATATTAGCAGATGCATGTTGCCTTTTACACAATTCTTTTTGTGTGAAGATTAGAAGTCCCAATTAGGATCTTTAAGAGTTTTACATTGTGTCTTTTTAATCTAATAAATAAATACTGTTGAACATTGGTTCCCTCCTCCCCACTATTACCAATGCTTAACTATACTAAAAAGTTATAATAATACATGTGTATCTATTTCCATGTATAATCAAGAACAGAACCTGACCTGGTTAAAAGGCATAATAGCTTCATCCCACCATACATAATTAAATAATGTGTTCTATTTCTGGAGGAGGACCTGGGAAGCTTATTTGAATTTTAGATTTTTCATATCCTGTAGAAGAGAACAACTAGCAATAGAAAATTAGCACGTAATTATTTCTTACTTCCTCTGGCTTCTTGTGACCATTTGGTATCCTTATCTCATGTATTCTAGCTGGACTACCCCCTTGATTTAATGACAATGAATTCTGTGAATCTTATTAATAATACAAACTGATGTTGCTTATGAGTCCCAAGGTTTTGGAACTCTTAATTTTTGAATGGATAGATTGATAAAATCAGGGCCAGCTTAGGACATCTAAATTTTCTCTAAAAGAATACTTCCATTTTCTGAAGTTCATCAATTAACCCTTATGGAGAGGGCTCTTCTCTCATGATCATTTAATTCAAAATAAGCAAGAGTCCTTGGCTTGGGGTGGGAGTTTGCTTTGTACCACTAGTTTACATGGTTGTCTTTTCTCCTTAGTGGCTCTGTAGCAATAGAAAGAAAGTCTTAATAGAAAGAGTTCCAAATAACCTGCAACATTATCTGAGGCACTACTACCTCAGTAAAATGTTGCAAATGAGGCAGAGCAATTTTACAGCAAAAGCTTCCACTGAGAAAGGAATTTTCTTTTTTACTATCTCTTTCTCCTCAATTCAGCTGGTTCTTTGTTAATCCTTTTTAAATCAAACTTTCCTTGGCTGCATTCTCTCCAGTAATAGTGCTTTTGCTGCAGTTCTTGGAAACTGAGACAGCAATCGTAACAAACTGTACTGCCTGAGGTGACTTCCAGCTGCCAAAAGCCAGGCCAAGGTGGGGAGAGAATAGAGGAATGGTCTTAAGATAAAGACCCTGAGGATAAAGACCCTGGGGACACTGGCTGATTGTCCTGTGTTGGGGTTTGTTGTGCAACTTCTGTGTCTGTAGATGTAGCTGCTGTTTTCTTTCAATTGTGTGGATTTTTCTTTATTCCATGGCATTGTGTTCTCCTATTGTACCAAATCTGCTTGTCTTGTTCTGCCAACTTAAGCGGCCTGTTGGCAGCAAGTTCTTGTCAGTGTTCCCAAAGGCTGGAATTCTCATTTTTGAAGACTTTTACTAGTCTCGTCACCTACTTGCAAGCTTTGGTTATATCAGCCAAAGAGGGTATTCTAACATCCCCATAGAAAACTGTATCTGTAACTTTGCTTTCAAACACATTAATCTTGGATTTTATTTTGTTCCTTTAGGAATTAAAATTGTCTGCTGGCATTGTGACCAAACCCTAGATACGCAGGGATACTGTTGTCATGTGAGCTTGAATTAATTAACTCTAATCACTATTTGGTACAAATAAGGACATACACAACAGGAATTACAACTGTAACTGAGATTGGCCACAAACTGACAATCCCATCCTATAGAAAAGCCTGGGAAAGGCATTAATCACACAAAAAGTAGAGTCAGACGTGCCTTGCAGAATGCAAGACAGAAAGGCTTTTCTAAAGTCAAAGAGAGCTATGACATGGGACATGCATTTATTCCAGTGCTTCATATAAATTACCCAAGGGCTATAAACGGAATTTATAGCAATTAGTAGATTTAACTGGCTGTAATGAATTAAAGAAAGGAGTCCTTAAAAACACCACAACTATTATTGCTATAACTGCACTGTCATCTCAAATTGTCTTGCTGCAGTGTGGCACATGGGAAGTTTCTTTATACTGGTTCAGAACAACAAATAATCTAACTCCTAGGCCACAGGCACCAACCCAGCCTTGTTTTCCTCCAGTATCCTCTCCTGGTTATGTTGTCAAAATTAGGAGGTAAATGCAGGGAATGAAAGACATTTCCCCCTACTCTTTATTTTTGGAAAAATAGCAACTGAAGAAAGCCCTTGAAAACTACAATGCATGATGTCATCACCATGCCCTGAGATCCTTGCAGGGTTTTTCTTTCCTTTCTTTTCTTTTTTTAAAGTAGATTCCAGTCACAAAGGATTGTCTGAACCTGGTCTACAATGCTTATCTGCAGCACTGCCAAACCTTCAGACAGATATCCCCCTTTTACTATCCCAGAGATCTAATATGAGACCATTGGAGCAGGACTCCAATATCCTTGTTAATCTCCCCAGTAGATGAGTCAGCTGAAGCGCTGTTCATCCACCCTCCCTGAATGCAGGCAAGTAGCTTTTGTAATCTGGGGCTGGAGTCAAAAAAACAAGCAAGGCTCAAGGAAGCACCCTTTGGAAGCTGGAGTTGATGGGTAGGGAACAAAAGTAAGGTTTGTGTTATGCTCCTCAATTATCCTGCAAATGAGGAGATGGTTGTCCTATCCTTAATATAGAATTAATGTTTCATTTCCAGCTACTTTTCTGCCATTGAGATGAAGGCAGCATCTTCCCCCCCCCCTCTTCAGATAGAGGGATTTGAACAGTTCTTTGTGGTTACCTTCTCTCCCGATATGGTGAGAATTTACAGGGCAGATCACTAAGTTTAAGTCCGGCAATCAATACATATCTTTTTACGATATGGGTAGCTTGAGGTCTTCCAACTGTTGTTATACAGCTGTTTTCAGCAATCTCAGACAACATGACCAATGCTGAGGAATGCTGGGAGCTTGATCCTGTGGCATCTGGAGAGCCCAATTTTCTAAGCCTTGTCTCAAGACTCAAGTTTTAATACCCTGGGTAAGACAAAGCAT